GCAATTAATATTTTTGCCATGATTGTATGACTTCATCAAAATGCTTAATCTCTTTAGTCTCTTTACTTAATTTATAAAAAAATATATTTTAACAAAAACGCACATGTATAATGAAGTTAAAAATACAAGATCTTTCTCTAGCATCGTAGACAGGCTCTCAGCAGGGTCTCGCTCCAAGAATGCAAAGAGGGTATCTCACTTTAAACATTCATGTTTTTTGTTTGCATGCAGTTCGCATGCCACATTCTTGTAATATAATCTAAATAATGAGATCAAGGACACATTCGAGAAAAAAAGAGTTGTGATTAGTTCAAAATAGTTTGAAATGAATATCGATTGCAATAAAGAGATATGAGATGAGATTGGTGTCAATTGCAAATTATTTGTAATCAATCGCAACCCTTTTATAAGACGGGGCTCAGAAGATAATTATCGCTGTGATGATGACGATCATAATAATACAGCCAATGACAGTCAGAAGAACCCTGAGATAAGAAGACGACGGAGGAGCAAGGAGGATGACATGAAAAAATCCCTAACCCAACTCTACTTTCACCGTCCAAACAATAAGATTACCTCGAAATTCCTCGAGGATCTTAACATCGTCTACCAAGGCGTCTCGAACTCTTATCATAATAGCAGGGTATACAGAGCTGCTGAGAAACTAAGATGGCTTCCAACTTGACATGCAGGAGCCTTCCTCAAGGCTAGGATTTGACCCTCGTCAGTCAGGAGTTTGAGTTGTCTGACTCAAAATATTTCTAAGAAGGGAAGACCATCACTGACCATCTTCCATTATACATAACAAAATTACAAACAGCTCCAGTCTCATCTTACTAACCTTTTAAAAACGTTTAATTTATTATATTTGCAAAGCATTCAGGTCATTTTGAATCAAGTATTCATTCATAACAAGAATAATTAGTGGTTAATCTGTTGCCAACACTATATATGCACATATGAATAAGTGCAAAATCTTTTAGTTTAGAGAGACCCATGACACACGAGACCAACAACGAAGAACTCTACTACAGCCTACGAGACCGATCATTGGTGATGGTGGTTATTTTACCCGACTGCTAAGAATGCATAAATGCTTGTAAGTAAGCAGCCAGATCATTAGGCCAACATACGAACAATGTCGGTCTCATGAGACTGTCAACTTATTAAGTTTCTGATGGACCACGATAACGACAGCCCATGAGGTCGAATAAGTCCAGGTTCTTGTGTCTTAATCTATCTTTTTTCAGAGGGTTCAGTGGTCTGACGACCCACTAGACCGATATGCCGACGGTCCGGTGGGATGTCGGTCTACTGAACCATTATGTAATCATGTAAAGATAGCATAACATTGATATCAATCAATTACCTAGTATATCATACTGTCTATGCTATAATTCCCCTTGATGGTTTTTTAAAGTTTGATCATGGCATATTCGATCGAGTTGAAAATAAATTGGCCTATATCAAATTATTATTGATTTCATGACATTTATTACCATGACTTAGTATAATCAACATAATGACATATAGCACAACATGTGCCATTTCACCATCCGTTGTTGAGTAAAATTGTGAATTTGTCATTTATGATTTTGAAAGAAGGTAGTAGCTTACCTGGTGCGACTTCTTGGATATGCTCCCGAGTAGGAGACTTGACATGAAGCTAGCACAATCTGCATCAGAAGTACAATCCATGTAAGGTGTATACCCTTCATCATGAAACACACCCCTGAGCTTCCCCGGGATCTCGGCCCTACACGTCCGCTACAATGCTTCCACGGCATCACTTTTTAGGAAGTTATTTAAAAAGTAGATTCCTGCTCGCAGTCGTGACATGAAAATCACGACAACAAAGATTCTTCCTCTTTTGTTCTCCGGCTCAAATTGTTCTTTCCAAGTTCCCGTGAAGATGGGGACTTCAATTATTTGAAACCAATTCTAGTTGTACATTGTCGGGTTTCTGCTTCTAACAAAGTGCGTTCTCGATAAAGTACTGTCTCAGGACGTCGTCTGCTCTATGAACTTTCGTCTTCTAGTGGTCATCGCGCCAAGTACTTTCCTGGTGAACGCGCGCTCTGAGTGAACCAACTTTTCCTGCCCGTCTGTATAATGGTCGTCTGCTATCAACTCGCGTGAAACGCACGCAGAACCTCTTTATCAGCCAGGAACGTAGAGTATTTACTCAGAAGAACATGTGCATTTTAGGTTGACTCTTCGGTAGGGTCAGAAAAGAAATCAATTTTCAACAAATAAAAAGCTGATACTTATTTTTTTTTAAATATACAATAAATCAAACATCCGTAATGTTCTGTAAGACCTGCCGAACTATACAGGTGGCGCTGTTTAGAAGAGCTGAATCAGAGGGATGAAGCCTTTTGCTCTTTTAGGCCGTGCAGGCGTAAGCAGATAGATCGAGCTTTCGTTTGGGGCTTCCCCGTCGCGGGGAATACCCGTACTGAAGATGTTTTAAACGTTTAAAATGAATATTATATATTGATGAACAAGTGTATTGATATATTGATGAACACCTTTTGTATGATGTGCCTAATGGGCCCGGCCCCCTCACTCAGTGTTATTTAGGGTACGCATATGCGTGTTCCCTCCTTTTGAAAACACCCCTAAGTCCGGTGGGTAAAGTCAATTTTGCGTTGGTGCGTGAAAAGTACCCCTTTACCGGACATTTTGGTAACACGCATGCGGTCATTCTGACCCCGGAGTGGGGGGGGGGGGGGCTAATGGGTAATCATCGTTTCGATTGGTTAATGGTAAGAGGCAATGTTGGTTTTCTAGTCAATTTGTAATCATGGTGAAATAAACACAGCAAAAAAAGAAAAAAGAAAAATGGGGAAAACAAGAAAGAAAAGAAATTCATGAGCAACTCCTACTAATTTCTGAACCACAGGAGTTTCAACGAATTTACTTATAAGGGAGTGTGTCTATGGTTCTCAGTTAGCCTCGTCATAACACAATGAAGAACATTACTTTAATCAATGTTAAAGTAGCTTAATTACATTGAGTAGTTATATTCGTGATCTATTCTTTTTTTAAATACAAGTACTTAATAAACTGTACTTACATGTTTGTGACCCATTATTTATTTTTCATTACAAACGTGCAAATGTTGGGGTTAGAGCTTGGGTTAAATAATATTCATTTGAAATTGATTTCTAAACTTTTCTTAACATTTAGTGATTTTTTCACAAATAAATCAATTTGTCTACTTTTTGAGTATTTCTGTTATAGCGCATAACTAACAATCATTAATTCACGCCTGTTTTTGTTTTGCTTTTTATGATCAATAACTAAAAAAGTGTGTATCTTGGCTAACGATTTAGGTGCTGACCCTGTTTGGTTCACCAGGGTAAAGGTTTCGTATGAACTAGATTTGTCAACTGCTATGTTTTAGTATTTTTAAATAAATGAGTGAAAATTGTTTCCCTCTTATACCTTCTTAGCTATAAATTCCCATCACTTGAAATGTTAAGGTTTTGTTATCAAATTAAAAAGTATTTCCAACTAGAGTTTGGTGCATAATAGTCCAAAGCCGCCTGGTACGTCACATTATCAAGACAACAAATGGGCCTATGTCATGCTAAGAATAGTTGCATTTATAAATCTCTTGTACAATTTCGAAAGGAATATTGTTTATCATTAGGCAGGAATAAATCTCATTTTCCCTACACTTTTTCTTTAGAGTAAGATTTCCTTTAACGGGCTGAGGGCCCGGCCCGCACCCCACCCCCTCACTCAGTGTTATTTAGGGTACGCGTATGCATGTTCCCTCCCTTTGAAAACACCCCCTAAAGTTCGGTGTGTAAAGTCAAAAATGGGCCAATTTGTTGTGTAACACGAGCCGGACTTTGTTGAGTGAAAAGTACCCCTTTACCGGATTTGGGGAACATGAATGCGGTCCTTCCGTTCCCGGAGTTGGGGAGGGGGGCTGAGGGTTAAACCAATATGATAGAAATCGAAGTTGAAGTGCATTAGAGGGTTGCATGAAGGGATGGTCAGACCTGAACGAGATGTTTGATTAAAGGTTTACACTTTACCATGTTTTCGTGGTGTGTGTTAAGATCAGGGTGTTAGCAATTACTTAGCATGATGAAGTTGGACTTTAAAGTTTACCTTTCAAATCATGGATGATTGTATAGTCACACCTCCCTGGGATGATTGACATCAGCGCAAGGTCATTGTTGACCTTTATAAGCATGGCTATCTCGTGGTGGTTTATAGCCTTTTGGTCAACAACCACTTCGTCTACTACCTAATTGGTATATTCCCATATGGTCTACACACAGTCAGTCTACCAACCACATGGTCTAATAATCATTTCGTTTAATGACCTTTTGGGTCAATATAGTCATTTGGTCTAATTTTCATTTCATCTAATCTCCAATAAGTCTAATACCCATTTCGTCTATTGCTCATTTAGTCAATTGTTCAGTCATTCTAATTCCCATTTCGTCCTATACCCATTTCGTCTACTAATACTATTCACAAAGTCGATGACTTGTATTACTTTTGATTGAATGATTATACCTTTGATTTGATGCTTTAAAAACTGGTCATTAGACTTTGATGAACAATAGACCAAAGGGCTTGGCCTAAATTTTTATTAGACCAAATGACAATCAGGCGAAATGATTTGTATTATACCACATAGAGAATAGACGAGCTGGCTGTAGACCAAACGGCATTTCACTACTCGTGGTACCAAAATACTACACAACGGAAATATATCGCTTACGTAATTTGTCAATGTTCATTTGCATAACACTGTCAAGACACCATGAATATGACGGACACAGAAAGCGGACAAAATATACATTTCCACAGGTAGGCGAAGGAATATCCCTTCACTGATATTATGTAAAAAGGTGAATATGCATGTGACACCTGTTCTACACATTTTTACAAAATAGCAGTGAAGGGATGTTCCTTTGTCTACCTGAGGAACTGTATATTTTGTACGCTTTCTTTGTCAGTCATATTCAGAGTGAGATCACCGACGACGCAACAGGGTCAATAACGAAAATATACTGTTGCATAAACAAGATTAGCGATGTTGCGCAACATCCCCTGCTTTCACACAGTTAAGGACTTATAAACGTTGTACGCTCATCCATTGTGTGTTATACAACTGTAGAATTTGAGAGACGAGTTGACTATATTACCACAAATCGTTCTTTATCTATAAGAGATACAGTGTGACCAGCGATGTATTTCTTAGTCTTAATACTGTGTGTCGTGGTGATCAATGATGCCAGCCAGTATGACCCTCATCTTTACCCACCGACAGGGCCTTTCTTTGAGGGTTGGTACACCAGACTAACAGATACAGACAACGACAGATCATTTGGTGTCCTCTTTGGTCGTGTACTCCCGAGAAACAGCCAGTCGACATCAACATCGACATCAACATGGGACTCGAACCCGACTACCTACATCAGTCTGGTGTGCAGCAAAGGTCAAGGGTCACCCATGGTCGTCGTCCAGGCTTACCCTGATGAAGACGACATCGAGGTTACGGTGCGTGGTGGTCGACCGATAAACAAAGACCCCTCTCTGCAGGCACCATCTTACTTCGAGTACGTTGTACGTCCGTATGGATTCTACAACGTAACTCCTAACTCGACTGTTTTTAGTTTCACCATTGATGGGGTGACGTTTGCAGGAAACTTTACCAGACCTCTACTGTGGGATTCGACTGGGCAAGGTGAGCTTTCACAGATTCGGCTAATTGGTTATCTTTTCGTGATTTTTTTTTTTTTTTTTAAAGCAAGGAAATAACAGGAGAATCGTGATATGATAAGATTTTTTAAAAATTAAGGAAAAAGATTTGAAAAAATAAAATAATGAAAATGCAGCACATAACATGGATACAAATAAAAACTAAAGCGGTTTCAACTATAAGTTATTGCAAGTGAAAACTACATTCACGAAAATGTATAGTTAGTTTACAATTCCTTTTTGCCACCCGATATTCGCTTTCCTTGTTGACATAGGAACTTTAAAGCCTTGAAAATTGGGAGATTTATTCTGAAATTTACAAATGTAATATAGTTACTTCAATGTAAGAAACAATTATTATACAAGTGTATTTTTTTGATAACCAAATATGACACAACAAGTAGAGGGATTGAGAGTTGTATTACTTTTTGTTTGTTCCATGAAGTTGTTTATTTATCAAAACAGCAGTAGAACAAATCAAAACAAAATTAAAACAAATTAATCATTCAGATGTTAATCAATTACAAGGCAAAACTAAATTTTCTTTTTCATCCAAAACAATATACAAAAAAACAATATTCAAAATGTACATACCATTCTACACCAAAAAACAACAACACGTACATAACATGACAATAATCTTGCAGTATATTATTATTACCCAGTGGCGCAGCGTGGGTTCCGTCATGGGAGACCAGTCTTTGGTCTACTAGATCAGCGTTTGTCAAACCCATATTTAGTCACGGTACCCTTTTAGAAGTTGAAAATTTTCGCATCATCCCAATCCAAAATTCAGCAAAAAGGTTTTGTTTTCAATCCCTCCTATAGACGTACGGACACATTTTCGTGTGTGGGCCGTGAGGGCCTTTTGCCAGAAAATGTTCTATTCTGATTTGAAATATTGCGAGCGAGCGAGAAAAAAATATCACTTTGGTTAAAGATACTTTGTCCCTTTTGCAGCCAATATCAAATTATGTAGAACTTTGCAGTAATTATGAATATGTCACGTATGTCCTATCTGTGAAATCCAAACGTTAGTAATGTCCTACATGTAGTATTCATATTATGCAAGGAAACCTGTTGACTTTCTAGACTTCCCTGTCAGTCACTATTGAGGGACTGACTGACATCTTTTGTTCTCTGGTAATAACATACATAAAATGAGCTGTGAAGGGTACACATGAGCATTATTTTGTCTACATCAATAACCCACTTCTTGTAATGGCAAAAATTAAGACGAAAAATTGAATGAAATGCCCGGCCCTCACTCCGGGAACGGAGGGACCGCATGCGTGTTCCCAACATCTCCGGCTCGTAACAAAAGAAAAAGATCTACCCGTATTGACTTTACACACCGGACTTATGCTGAAAGGAGGGGGGTGCTGGGAACACGCATAGGCGTACCCTAAATAACACTAAGTGGGTGGAGGGGGTGGAGGGCGGGATAAAATGAAACAAAACAAAAATAATCAATACCCGCCCCCTCATGCTGCTCTTTAGGCCGCATCCATAGTAGGAAATCTCATTTTGTATTTTGTGTATGTTTAGGTCCAGAAGGCTGGCTTACTGACCTGCCGATGTTACCCATCCATTGGTTCGTCTACAGCCTTGGGACCCCAGGAAGCTATACATGGAACCAATCAGGACGAGTCATATCAGGCAAGGCTCATGCTCATCAGGAGAAGAACTGGGGACAGGGATTCCCGGCAGGTTGGATGTGGACCCAAGCATACAATCGTACCGCAAACGCAACATTCGCGGGAACCTTTGGAGTCGTGTCCTTTAATCCGGTTATCAGAGGCCCTGCCCATCTCTTCGGCTACAGAAATTTTGCGCGAAATCTTCGTCTTGATTTCAGGCCAGACAACTCGTTTACTACTCAGGACCGGCGTCCTTGTGAGGGTAAGGCTACAGTGAACATCTACAGTCTACTTCACACCGTGGAGTTAACAATGAGTGCTCCGGTAGAGACCTTTCAGAAGTGTCTACGTGGTCCAGTGGAATCAGGCTTCCAGTACAACTTGGTAGAGACGTATGTGGCCACCATACGGGTAGTTATCAAGAAACTTGGATTTAGGGGTTTTAGTGTAATTGAAGATCAGATATTCTATGGAGCGGCGTATGAGTTCGGTAGAGAGTACCTTTGTCCTCAGAATCCGTGCACTGATTGATTTCTTTAGCAGTCGTCTGATGTATGAGAATTCTTAGTCCACTGACATGACTGTGACATATGATATTCATGATACTGGGCAGCTTTAAGGGAAAGAAAAACGATCTTTACATATATGTTTGTTATTTTCGAGCCAATCTTGAGCTCTGGTATGGGAATCCTATTTTGACAGAAAATTGCTATGATTTATTCTTGATTTGTTTATCCTGCAGTAGAGTGGTTGTTTGGAACAGTGAAATTAATACAAACGCACAAAAACTTACCTAAAGGGCATTATCTTCGATAAAAACCACATCTCCCATTTGCACATAGTGACCTGTGTTAAGCACGTGTCGGGCCTACTTACCCAGATTCCTTAACTTTCCATGCTCATTTCCTAGCCACTAAACATTTTCTACCAAAATTGTTCGGCACTCGTCATTTATTTTTAATCTTGAACATTCAGTGTCAGTTTCATTGGATTCTGTAAGAATGTATTTTCTATATTTACCAGAACTCAAGTTTATCTTTAATTGACATGGAGGTACATAGTAATTTTCTTTTTATTTAGTTGATGTTGTTACTTTGGCAGTCTGTCTGTTTAACTTACTATATGGCAAAGGAGTTCCTTTTTAATGTTCACGAAAATGTTAATTGTTAAATAAAGTTGGAATAACAACCCTCCAAATATTAAATACCTTTATTTGGATATTGTGAAATAGTAAAGAAACTTCATACTTCTACGATTGCCCTTTGTTTTACGAGTTGGTCGTATGCATATGGATGTACGTGCCATGCACTTGTAGAGTATAATTTTATATCCTTGCCTTTTTGGTACCATATTTATGAGATGAGATTTCATGATTGGCTACACACAGGTCAATTTAGGTAACTTGGTCAAAATCCACTTGAATCTACTGAGAAGGTGGGTAAAGGATTGAAAAACAAGCAAGAAAGGGTGTTTATTTATCATATTTGGTTATAAAATCATGTTCAGGTTCAATTTCTTGGAATATTTTCGATCGCATATGACCACTTATCGATTTATCATCCATGGCAGAAACATCTCTGGAGAAGCATAGTTGTCTTGCCTGGTTCATAAGCCTATATGTGAGGGAGAACCTCTTGGACATGTTGGATGAAGTTCATACCTAAATCATCAGGAATTGATACAGTTTCACGTCCAGTGGAGTAAACCACTTCTGCTATGACCTCTAGGACAAGCCAATCCCATCTCCACGTGAAAAGCAGTGCTTACATTATCTGAATATCATTCCGGCCCTAACCATCAAAATACCCCCTTGAATATGGTATGGTGAGAAGCCAGCACGATTACTCTATATACAGGTGCATTTACATTTTTACCTGTGGCCAATTTCGTCCACTTTCAAGGCTCATGATAAACTTGCTATTGTTATTATTATTTGTATCTTCATAATAACTATTACAATTATTATAATTATTATCATTGTTGTTATGATGATGATGACTACTATTAATTATTATTTTAAAGGGGGTCGAGTTTTGGTCATAGGTATTCATGGGTTCCGTGATCCGGTGATATCATCTATTAATTTGAGATCCGTATTGTATTGTTAAATTGGCATTTTGGGTTTGTGGTATATTTTCTTTCTACCTGATATGTGCGGTTTCGAATGCTTTTCACCGTACTCATCAGTTGGTGGTAAATTAGAATTACTTATGATTAAAAGTCTGTGGGAATTATATAACAATGTCTTTTGCATTTATTTCGTCTCTACTAGAATCCAATATTCCACATATCACAACAGGTAGAATGAAATGAAATTTAACTACAGTAGTGATGCAGATATATTTTTATTGTATTTATTCGTGTTTTACAATATGCACAGTATAAACCGCATGAAGCATATGACATAAACATTTGTGTTTCATTAATTGTTTCATCACAATCTATTGCTTTTATAGTATCTATAACAAGTGTTTGGACATAGATACTGAAGGATACGATCCACTTGGTCCCTCCTAGTTAACCATTAACTTAGAACCAAGTTTACAGACATGTAAATCACGAAGTAGATTCCTTCAGACGAACCGTCAATCGTGGATTTCTTTTTCATTGCTAGTCTTATTTCAGTATGTCTACATCACAATTCGTAAACTGGGTTTGGATTTCAAAAAGAAAGAAGAGTTTTTCTATGTTCAAAATGAATGTCAAATGGTTAACATATAAGCTACTTAACATTATATGAATTTTAGATGTTCGTAAGGTTAATATTAGGTTCATGAACTTTGATTTCATTTCATGCTTCGAATCAATCAGGAATCATATGATGAATGTCGGGAAGGAAATCAAATACTTTAGTTGGCTTTGACGTACTCGAGAAGGGCCATGACTCCTGCATATGTCTCCTCACCAGTGGGGATGATCTGGCTCTCGGGAAGCTGGAAGCCGTACCTTCCTGTATCCCTCAGCTCCACCACGTAGGAGTACTTGGCTCCCAATGTACCATGACCCCAGTCAACACTGCAACCATCCGCAGCATCTACAATCATGATCATAATTACGATATAATAATGATCATTGATACAGCCAGGGAGACGTTCCCCATCCCCGAGAATATTTGATAACCCTTTTTTTACAGCCTTTATAGTTGTCAATGATGTTGTTCTTGTTTCGCTTCTCAGATAGTGACGTCAGAGCATCTTATGCCCCATCTAAGATCCACCTATAAGTGATAATCAGTGGCTAATGCCCGCTGGCTTCTGCTAAACTGTCGGGTAAAGCCGACCATAGCTGCACAGTTTCTTAAAGGGAACCAAAACTTTCATACTAAGTTACTTTTATTGTAAAGTTTAAGATATTTGAAAAATATGAGTGAAAATTTGAACAAAATCGGGCAAGGAATAAGATTTTATTCAAATCTTTTAAACTTTACAATAAAAGTAACTTAGTATGAAGGTTTTGGTTCCCTTTAACGGAGCCTTCCAGTGTCATATTTAAGGGGGAGGGAGCTTGAAGACATGTCCAGATCGGGATAAGTTTCAGGGTTTCAGTTACTCATTACGTACAGACATGAAAGAATGAAAACTAAACGAAATGTTTAAAGGTTCTAATTTTAAACCTCACATACAATTTCAAAAACTGAGTTATTGTTTTCCCGGGCTCCACATCAAAATGAATAATCTAAATCCATATAGGACTACATGTATGACATATGTTCCATGGACAACCCGTCAATTACCCCCCCCCCCCAAACCCCGATGACAATAACCCCAGACAAATACCTCTTCTTTGTGAACTACCCGATAATTTATTTTTCTTCAGGGGATAAAGGCACTTATCAGAAGTGAAAATCAGAGTACTTATCAGATTTGAAAGCGGCAATCGATGTAGAAAGGCAATTTTTCAAAAGAAGAAACGGACACTTACCTTATGTTTATTTAGATATCCTAATTTATATACATACCTGCATTAATCTTCATAATACAAGCTTTGCTTTTTAGTAGATCCCCTACTTTATTAAGCTTTTTCATTGTAAGTATTTTACTTTTGATTGTATCTTTTATTATAACTATCACCATGTACATTTTGTTCCTTTATTGTATGATAAACTATAATTATTAGTATGTATACTTTGTTCAATTATGTTATTTTCGATGAAGTGGAAATAAATTAACTTAACTTGAAACTTGAAACAATTACTACAAAAAGCACTAGTCAGATTTGAAAAGAGAACTTTGAGGTGAAGGACATTTATCAGAAGAGGAAACAAGCGCTTATCAGAAGTGAAAGGACAGAAAAAAAAGACACTTTTGGGGTACATGAAAATGTGGGGGCACTGCGGCCCCCTTCCTTCTGTAGCTAGGGGGTAACCTTTCAATTTTCCTTGGGGGGGGGGGGCGGGGTAATTGTCAAGGTGGTAGTTGTCACAGACATTTTGAAAGCGTTGTTTATTCCGAATAATGTTATACAGGGTGGCCCAAAACCAAAGCAACACTTAAGATCTGCTATTGAAACGACATCACTGACACCGTGTCATTTTTAATAAGGTATCAAATTCTCTTCCGAGTAAAATTTTGAAAAAGGCGTTTTTCTTCTACGGCTGTTTGTGTGAGGCAATTTCGTTCTTTTGCTTCTTTTGCAACTGTAGTGATGCTTGAAGAAGTGAGAAATTTGCGCATGGCGCCTTCCCGTTCAATCTTCAATGACTGATCTAGTTTTTGGCTCACAAAAAAAAAAAAAAAAAAAATGGCTAACCCAAAATTGATGATCTAGGAAGATAATTTTCTACCCAATAACACCAAACCAATGACACTGTGCAATATAAATCTAGATTAATGGTAGTAGTTTCATTATTGCGTTAGTATTGAGATGGGTGAAGGAGTCGAGCGACCAACAAGTAGGGAGGTGTGGGAGGGGTCTTCCCCTAGGTTAGGGACTTCTTAAACTTTAACAAACTTAAACTATGTTTGGTTTGATAGGGCTGAAGAGCAACTTACAAAGTGTCTGTGCTGAAGGTCCATATGTGTAGCTAGTCCCATGCACACTCTGCAGAGCAGCACATGCTTGTTTGGCACCTTCGACCTATTCATTACAAACATATATTAAAGCAAACTTTTTGAATAAAATATCTTGAAATGTTAAGTTCGACAATAAATAATGAGAGAAGTTGGGAAGAAAAACAGTCGAATGGTATCAACTAGCTTTTATAAGTTGTATCGAAGCAATTCCACGGAAAATGTTCACTTGCTGAAATTCATGACTATAAAAAGTCTGGAAATACTACGATAAACAAACAAAAGAGCTTTGAAAGGTCTTTGATTTGATGGGTATATCAATAGGTTTAAAAATATTTGGGTATGATTTTTTGATAAATAATAATAATAATAATAATAATAATAATAGTGGGTTCTTGTATAGCGCTCATGTCAGTCAGATTTGACCCTCCTGGCGCTCCCGATTATTACACTGGCTTTAGCACGGCTACCAAACGGCGCTCTAGCATTTCAGATTCAACAGCGCTCGTCTTTGCTATTAATACGTGTATCATTTAACACATTTTGTGTTATTTGTGTTGATCTGTTAGCTCTGTTAAAGGGATATTTGAGTATTGATATAGAGGGCGATAAAATATTATTTCGTTGTGAGATAATGAAAAACTGAGTGTCAAATTTGAAAGAGCATACAATTTAAATGACAAAATCATCTTTGATCAAAATCGGTCTTGACCATCGACTGCGAAAAATTGCATTCCGATCGTATTTTGCCCAAATACACATGATATATTCCCGGGGTAACTCAGCTAAAACTACAGTAGTAATAACGGCAGGGTCCTCTGGAAGAACAGTTTTAATACTTCCGAGGCTACCGTTGGTAAACAAGACATAATATCCCTAATAAAATAATAGTAATAACAATACCCGGCTCCAATCTCTGTCCCTCACCCAGACAAATTACATAAAAACAATATTTGATTCAATCAAGGGTCACAAATCATGATGGAAAAAGAAAGCAGCTTACTTGGTCCGCATATTGTGATGGTTTGGTTGCTCGATAAGACCACGGAGAAAGCCACAGCTGGGAGTAGGAGTGGAAGTCGATAAACAATGATATTGTGTTGCCCTGGTTCTTGAGATTCAACAGAAACTCAGTAGTCTGGGAGACTTCCGGTTCAGTATTGTAGTTTGTTCCTCGATATGTATCGGAGCACGCACTCCCACTGGATCCAGATCCCCCTGCATCAATGACAAGAAAAAAAAAACTTTTTAAAGTAAACCTCTAGGTTAGCTCAAAACAAAGATACCTGACTGTACTTATATCTAAATTAGGTCTAAGAGAAAGACGAATTATTGTGATAGTTGTGAAAAATATGCGCTCTATCATAATTATTTGTCATTCTTGTGGAAGAGTATTATAATAGGAATCGCTCCTTAAAAATATTGCTCTTCAAATGCCCTTATATTCGAAACATTACTAGAAAGACTTTCAAAGAATTATAATCGATGGGCTCTTGAAACCTGTAGCAGTATTAAAAGCAATATTTTTATCAAATAGATAGGAATTTGGCCGAAAGCATTTCGAATCGGGATGTCAGACCAAATTTGCCAACAGATTTGTCAACATTCTGATATTCACACCCGGTCTCCAGATTTTGAAGTTTAGCGACAGAAGTTCAAAACTTCTCATCCAACAAATGAAAAACAAAATCATCAATGTTGGTGATGTTCCGACAAATTTACCAAAATTCTATTTTAGTCAAAGACAAAATCCTGAATGGGAGTGTAACTCATACATACATCCTACTTATATGGGCTCCTCTGCTGAAATTTATTTCATGATATTTAACCGTAAAATAATTCTTATCTTGTTACTTAGTTTTAATCATCGTTTTAAAAACTTAGGCCTACTATTGTTATAATCTAAATAGTCATGTTCATCAGTTTTGCATGGCAATTTTGTCCTCCCG